CTTTCAACACTGAGTTCCTACTAAACTCTATTAATAGTTATTAACTTAGGTAAGCATGAAATAGGACAAGTCCATGATGTGAGAACTTGAATGGGAATGTTAATTTTATTAAATTGATGTAAACAAGAATCATTTAAAAATAAACAGGACAAATCATCTCCAGGTCCACCTAAACCCACGAGAGAATTGTTGGGTTGCTGAGATTACATTTGCACTTAGTATTCACTTAAAAGTCCAAATTATAGCTGCAGAAAACATGAATAATGTTCTAAATATGTTCTAAAAATATTTGTTTCAATGAAATATTTCAAAAGTGAGCCTTTAATTAAAATGTTAACAAAACAGTGATTAGAAGCTATAACGTTCAAATAAACAGTAAGTTATTTTTCTAATGATACTTCAAACACTAAGATTTTTCAAAATGTAGCTTTAAACATTTTTTTTTATCATAAGACAAGGTAATAAATTGGTTAATCAAAACTTGAAATAAAGGTGCCTGGCTGGCTCAGTTGGAAGAGCCTGTAACTCTTGATCTCAGGGTTGTGGGTTCAAGCCCCACACTGGGTGTGGAGATTATTTTAAAAAATAAGTAAACTTAAAAAAAACCTTGAAATCAAATTCAACATGCCTGTGTAAATGTCTTGTAATATCCACACCCAGGAGTCTTATTTTCTTGCATAAATTTTTATTAATGAAGGGTTTACAACTTCCCATAGGAAACAGAAAAATGTCACTGAGGCAATTTCTCACTGAGTTTTCATAAAACACATCTTTCCATCACTATCATAGATATGCTTTATCGTCTAGAGGTCTGCATAGTGTAAAAAATGTTTTCTCATTAAATAGCTGTTTATTATTCTTTATTATAATAAATTTTATAATGTATAATAAGAAATTTATTCATTTATTATAAAAATTTATTTATGATAAACACATATTTGGTGTTCATCCTTGTTTCTGGTTCACAGTTCCCAAAACCCTTGGAATTTCTAAGTGTTGGGAGTGATAAAAAGTGTCTTTTGTTATCTTAATGAGGTTTCCTTTGGAAAGCACCCTCCAGAGGTCTGGCTGCCTGTAGGACCAACCCTGTGATTAGAAGGTTGGAACTTTCAGTCCCACCCCCAGACCTCCAGGGAAGGGACAGGGACTGAAGGTTGAGTAAGCCAATGGCCACAATCATGACTCTTTCATGAAGCCTCCATAAAAACCCAAAAGGGAAAGCTTTTCAGTATTTCTCTTTTGAAGTGCTTCCAGGCTTAGAGAACCTGAACACTCGTGTGTCACTGAGCCAAGGGCCCATGTTCCAGGAGGACAGAAGCTACTTTGTCCAGGACCTTGCCCTATGTATCTCTTCATCTGGCTGTTGAAACATTAAGTGTTTTCCTAAGTTCTATGAGGCTCTGGCAAATTAATCAAACCTAAGGAGAAGGCATTGGAACTTCTAATCTGTCGCTTGTAGATCAGAAGCACAGGTAACAGACAAGGGCTTGCCTCTGGCAACTGAAGTTGGGGGTGAGGGGCAGGCTTCCAGGACTGAACCCTTAACCTGGGGAATCTGATACTAATTCAAATTGATAGTGGCAAAATTGAGTTGAGACAACATAGTGTCTTAGAATTGCTTGGTGTTGTATGTGAGGAAACCCCCTATTTGACATCAACAGTTGGTTCAGACATGAACTTATTTAAAAATAATTGTATCCAATTGACTGATTTTCCCACTGTGATATAAAATGTGGATTCATCCATTATAATATGTTGAATATAACACTGCCATAGAGGAGAGCTAAAGATGTGGGAGGAGAGAGTTGTGGTCTGTATAAGGTCTCGTGAAAGGAAAGACAAAGAATCAGACTGTGTGTCTTTGCATCTCCAGCATTAAGTAAGACTGAGAATTTTTAGATTAAGAAGGGGACAAGGAAAATTAACTCTAACAACCTGAACAGAAATACCCTCTAAGAATATATAGGCTGCAAAAAGTGGCCAGAGAACACAAAGTTTCTTATACATTAGAAACTTAAACAATACATGCTTGTTCTCTGTCCCTCCTCTAGCCCTGGAGATGACAAAAACAAGGCAGGAATTTTGAGAGCCTGTTTTTGCAGTTATAAAACGGATGTAATGTTGATGGATCCTAAGATGATTGGATCCTTTTGTTTTCTTAGGGGTCACAAAGACATGGTCTCAGTATTAGAAGTTGGAAGACCAAGGAGAAGAGATGGGTTTCTGAATAGAACTGTTACATTGTTTCTCCCTACCTCACGCCCTGTAAGATCAAGCACATGACTGATTGGCTTAATTGGGGTAGCAGTTGGAAGGGGTGTGAACTTTGATGGAATCAGTACTAACCAAACCTGGAATTTAGGTCAGAGCAGTCAGCAAAATAAGGTGTCAAATGAAAGGAAATTGCAAAATTAAAGGAGAAAGAAGAAACCTGTACCCTAGCCATGAGTGTCCTAAAGATAGATTTTAAATATGTGTTGCTCTTCCTTTGCCAATTACAGAGTGATGTTGAGTGTTGAAACAATGCCTGGGGCAGGGACAGTGAACCTAGAACAACAAATATACTTAGTTCTGGCAGCCTCTGGTCCTTTTTAATTAAAAGTGTTGCAGCCAGGAAGAGAAGTTATGGAATAGAGCAGCAGAGATGTTATATTGAGGATGGAAAATGTCTATTTGGAGGAATGGTGGCGGGGGGGGGGGGGGCAGATGACCATTGACTGTAACATAAAGCCTCTCAGAATAAATGTCTTTTTCTAACTCTACCACAACACACCACGAAAAAATTGAGGACAAAACCCTATCTGATTTTTGCAGACTTAACAAGCTAAACTAACAAATATATTCATGGGGAAAATTTCAGTATATCTGAGTTATCTTCAGTACTGTGGGAGAAAGATAACAATGGAGCATTTGCTCAGAAAACTGAATTATTAAAAAGTCAGTACACATTTAAAACAAACACAACAAATATCATTAGAGAAAAAAACAAAATGAAAAGTGACTAATCAAGTGTTTATAAATTGTAACCACTTGGAGATAATGGAAATAAAAAAAATAGTTGAGATGAAAACTCGAAAGATTGCATAGTAAATGAGATACAAATGTAGGTAAAGTATAAATTATTAAAAAGAAGCATTGATGGAGATATTGCCTATGTATTAGAACACCTTTTTTGATTGCTGAATTTTTATCTGGCTTCCTTGCTGAACTACCTAATAAATTTAAATATAAATTTTAATAGAAAAACAAAAGTAACATGGCTGATCATATTTTTTTGAAAATTTAAAAAATCAGTGTCACAGTCTTTATCTTTTAATTCTCTTTTCATTCTTTGTTAAGTACTTCCAGCCATAATGACAGGCATATTTTTATTTTTTTATACATATTTGTTATAAGTTTTTTATATTCTCTACCAGTTTATCAGATCTCTTAATTAGGTTTAATAATTTTCCTTCCATTTCTTAATATATTGGGAAAACTGAGAGAATTACAGGCTAATCTAAGGGGAGAAGACATACCACATCCCCCTATTATTCAAAGGTTCAGGGTATACGATCCCTGAACTGCCCTGGGATCTCTGTACGCTCACTGGTGAAGGAACAGTGACACCTTTCTACGCTAGGGGAAAGAAGATCACGACAATGCTGTCCCAACTGCTTACGGCTTGAGCACATTTTGAAAATTCACAATGACCCCTAATCTACGCCAGTTGTCAGTCTGTGCATCTTGGATCATTCTATCATCCATGCCCCCGTATAAATCTGCATAGAGCCTAGTTTTTATTATAGAGCTCTTATCATTGAGAATCAGGGGTGTGTTATCTTTGCTCTTGGTATCAAATAAAAGTTATTCAGTCTGGCTTTTCTTCACGTTTCCCTGTAATCTGGATCCATTTTTGTGCCCATTTGTTTTCCACTGTGAACCCTACAACTTAATCAGATCTGTCGTCAGAGCTGCTCTTTACTTACTGTCTTTGCTTCACAGGTCTTGGGACATGTATTAGTATATGTACACACACACACACACACACACACTTTTAATGGAGCAGTGTGTTCCAGCTCTTGAGTCTAATCATGACACTTCCCCTGACAGTGACTCTGAACTTAGCATGAGATTTCTTTCTATGCTTGTGTTGCTGTGTGCAAAAACTCTCCTGATAAGCTTTGGTCATGGGAGTAATGTTATGAAGCATTCAAAAAGTTGCATTATAATTTGTGTCACCTTTCCTTGGAGATACTTAGCATATGAAATTTTTGGGGGGGTTACACAAACAATTTTCATCCTTGAAGTAAAAACTTGGTTTCCCTTTCTTTCTTTCTTTCTTCCTTCCTTCCTTCTTTCTGTCCTTCCTTCCTTCCTTCCTTCCTTCCTTCCTTCCTTTCTATTTTTTTAAGATTTATTTATTTATTTTAGAGAGAGAGAGAACATGAGTGGAAGGGGCAGAGGGAGAGGGACAGTGAATCTCAAGCAGACTCCCTGCTGAGTGTGGAACCTGACCTGGGCTCAATCCCACAGACCCAAGGTCACAACCTGAGCTGAAAACAAGGAGACCAATGCTCACCTGACTGTGGCATCCATGCACCCCTCCACTGCTTCTTTCTTATACATGATATGACAACTGATGAGAACCTAGAGAATTTTCTTTTACATAAACTTTTAGAAAGAAAGAGCACAGTTATGAGGGGGAAAAAAAACCTGAAACTGAAAACAAAATAACAGGTACTGGGATGTCTGTGTCATCATACACTTCACCAGATTTCTTTAATATTCAGATTCACTAAATATTTACGTCTTCATTTGAAATACTGGAGACAATATCCTCTATTTACGCATTACATTTTGTATGTAATCAGTGCTGAGTACATATTTTGTTAAAGTAAGGAAACACAATTTCCCTCCCACTTTACAAATGTTTATAGATATAATAATGAAACAATGAGACATTTAAACCTCCTCCAACTAAGCACTTTGCCTTGCAAGTAATAATACTTGACTCTTCGTTTGCTTTGTGGATTATTTTAATGACCAATTTAAAATAGAAGTAAAGTTATGGAATAAAGAATTACAGTGCATGTTAGTTGGACAGGGAAGACAACATCAGGAAGGTTGGAGACATGGGAAAGCAGGGGAAGGAGTTAACAGGGAAAAAGACCCTCCTCTAGCAGAGGTTATTGTCAAAGTGGCCAGCATTGATGTAAATCTATGGATGCCCATATATGATTAGTAAAATTTAGGATCTCAGGTGTAATTAAAACCAAATGAAACTTAGCAGAAGCTACTGAAACAAAGTAAGGTAAAAGATGTAATCCAGCAGACATTTCCCCAACAGCACATTATAGTTGCAAATAACAAAAATTATTTTATCTCCTTGTCACAGAGGCAACTGGCTTTGCAGAACTGTTGAACTGACTGGGATCTGCATCCAAAACTTCGTTTTTGTGTCTTACAGTTACTGTATTCATCATAGTAGAGGCAGGGGTTAGCTGGAAGGAAAAAGCATGTTTACACAGTATTATCTCGAAAATTCACCATTACTGAAGAAAGAGATAATCTTTCCTTAAAGACATCAATGGAATTATCTCCTCCCCTCCCCAGTGACTCTGAAATTTACCAATCTGTTTTCTGTATCTGTGAGTTTGGTTTTTTTAGGTTCCACATATAATTGACATCATATGGTGTTTGTCTATGTCTGACTTATTTCACTTAGAATACTACCTTCAAGAACCATCCATGTTGTCATAAATGATATGATTTCCATTTGTTTTATAGCTGAACAGTGTACATTATATATATATATATATATATTCTTTCTTTATCCATTCATCGGTCAATGGACCCTTAGGTTGTTTCCATGCCTAAGCTATTGTAAGTATCTTCTTGAGTTAATGTTTTTGTTTTCTTCAGATAGCTATCCAGAAGAAAAATTGCTGGATCATATAACTGTTATATTTTTAATTTTTTGAGTAGCCTCCATACGGCTTCCTATAGTGACTGCACCCATTTACATTCCCATGAACATTGCATGAGGGTTTCCTTTTCACCACACCCTTGCCACCACTTATGATCTCTTGTCTTTTTGATTATAGACATTCTAACAAGTATGTAGTATATCCCTGCATTTCCCTGATGATCAGTGATATTAAGCACCTTTTCATGTACCTGTTGGCTATATGGATATCTTCTTTGGAAAAATATCAGTTTAGTTCCTCTGCCAGGTTTCTAATTGGATTTTTTTTATTCAGCTTTATAAGTTCTTTATGTATTTTGGAGATTAACGCCTTATCAGACTTATGATTTGCAAATATTTTCTCTCATTTAATGGGTTGTCTTTTCATTTTGTTGATGGTTTTCCCTTCTGTGCAGCTTTTTAGTTAGATGCAGTCTCACTTGTTTATTTTGCTTTTGCTATTTTTGATTTTAGTGTCAAATCCAAAAAATCATTGCCAAGACTGATATAAGGAGTTTGCCCCATGTTTTCTTCTAGGAGTTTTATGGTTTCAGGTTTTACGTTCAAGTCTTTAATCCATTTGAGTTGATTTTTGTGTGTGGTGTAATATATGATTCCTGTTTCATTCTTTTGCATGTGGCTGTCTGTCTAGTTTTCCCAGCACCATTTACTGAAGAGACTGTCTTTTCCCTTTGTATGTATTTGGCTTTTGGCTTCTTTGTTATAAATTAATTGACCCTATATGTATTGGTTTATTTCTGGGCTCTCCATTCTTTTTAAAAAATTATATATATATATATATAATGTTCATTTAGCCATTCTGTTCCATTGATCTATGTGCCTGTTTTTATGCTAATACCATACTGTTTTGATTACTATATATAGCTTTGTATATAGTTTGAAATCAGGAAGCATGATACCACTAGCTTTATTCTTCTTTTTCAAGGTTGCTTTGGCTATCTTTTGTTATTCCATACAAATTTTAGGATTATTTGTTCTGGTTCTGTGAAAAATGCCATTGGAATTTTGATAGTAATTGCACTGAATCTGTAGATATCTTTGCGTAGTATGGAAATTCAAAAAAATATTAATTCTTCCAATCCATGAGCATGGAATATATTTCCATTTATTTGTATCTTCAATATTTTTCACCAATATCTTATAATTTTCATTATATAGATCTTTCACTTCCTTGGTGAAATTTATTCTTAGGTATTTTATTCTTTTTTGATGCAATTATAAATAGGATTTAAAAAAAATTTCTTTTTCTGATAGTTTGTTGGTAGTATATATAAAAATAACTGATTTTTGTATATTGATTTTGTATCCTGCAATTTTATTGAATTCAGTTATTAATTCCAATAGTTTTCTGGTGCAGTCTTTATTTTTTTAATTTTTTTAAAGATTTTATTTATTTGTTTGACAGAGAGAGAGACAGTGAGAGAGGGAACACAAACAAGGGGAGTAGGAGAGGGAGAAGCAGGCTTCCCGCTGAGCAGGGAGCCCAACGTGGGGCTCAATCCCAGGATCCTGGGATCATGACCTGAGCTGAAGGCAGATATTTAACTAACTGAGCCATCCAGGTGCCCCGATCTGATGGAGTCTTTATGGTATTTTATATATATTATCATGTCATCTGCAAGTAGATACTGTTTTACTTCTTCCTTTCTGATTTTAATTACTTGTATTACTTTCTCTTGTCTAATTACTCTAAGACTTCCAGTACTATGTTGAATTAAAGTGGTAAAGGTAGGCATTCTTTTTTTTTTTTTATTTTATTATGTTAAGTTAATCACCATACATTACATCATTAGTTTTTGATGTAGTGTTCTATGATCCATTGTTTGCGTATAACACCCAGTACTCCATTCATTACATGCCCTCTTTAATACCCATCACCAGGCTAACCCATCCCCTCACCCCCCTCCCCTCTAGAACTCTCAGTTTGTTTCTCAGAGTCCATAGTCTCCCATGGTTCATCTGCCCCTCCGATTTCCTCCCCTTCATTTGTAAGACTGTTGAATCACAGACCTGTACCTCTGAAACAAATAATACATTATATGTTAAAAAAAAAAAAAAAAGATAGCAGGAAGGGGAAAAAAGGTAGGCATTCTTGTCTTGTTCATGGTCTTAGAGGAAAAGCTTTTCACTTTTAACCACTGAATATGATGCTTGTTGTGGGCTTCTCATATCTGGCCTTTATAATGTTGAGGTAACATTATACCTGTGAACCCAATTTGAGATTTTTTATCATGAAAGAATGTCAGATATTGTCAAATGCTTTTTCTGTATCTATTTGGATGACTATATGATTTTTATTCTTCAAATTGTCTGATTTGTGGACGTTGAGCCATTCTTGCATCCCTAGCATTAATCCCACTTCATTGTGGTGTATGATCCTTTCAATGTATTGTTGCAGTTGGTTTGCTAACTTTCACTGAGATTTTTGCATCTATGTTCATCAGATATAATGGCCTGTAGTTTTTTTTTTTTTTTATTGCAGTGTCATCTGATATTAGTATCAGGGTAATGCTGGCCTCATAAAATGAGTTTGGAAGTGTTCACTTATCTTCTATTCTTTTGGCAGAGTTTTAGAAGTATTAGTATTAATTCTTTAAATGTTTGGTAGAATTCACCAGTGAAGCTATCTGGTCCTGGGTTTTTCTTAGTTGGGAGAGTTTTGATTATTGATGCAATCTCCTTACTAGTACTTAGTCTGTTCAGATTTTCCATTTATTCGTGATTCAGTCTTGGTGAGCTGTATGTTTATTTCTTCATAATTTAGTCTTTGTAAGTTGTATGTTTTTTTTTTAAGTTTAGTTTTGTAAGTTGTATGTATAAATAGGATAAATTCCTTCAATAATTTCTTCAAATTAGTTGTCCAATTTGTTGCTATACAATTATTCATAGTAGACTCTTATGCCCTTTTTTGTTTGTGGGTATCAGGTGTAATGTCTTCTCTTTAATTTCAAATTGTAATTATTTGAATCTTCTATTTTCTTTTCTTTCTTCTTCTTCTTTCTTCTTTTCTTCTTCTTCTTCTTCTCCTCCTCCTCCTCTTCCTCCTTTTTCTTCTTCTTTTTCTTCTTCTTCTTCTGGTAAGTGTGGCTAAAGTTAAAGATTTTTCTATGTTCGTCTTTTAATGAAAGCTCTTCCTTTCATTGATCTTTTTCATCTTCTTTTCAGTCTTTATTTTATTTATTTTCACTTTGAATTTTGTTATGTTCCTCCTTCTACTAACTTGGCGCTTAGTTTGCTCATTTTGTAGTTGAAGAATAAAGTTGTTTTGAGCTCTTTTTTGTTGTTGTTGCTATTATAGGTATTTATTGCTATGAATTTCCCTCTTAGAAGTACTTTTATTGCTATTATAGTATATAAATTATATTAATATATATAATTTCCCCTATTTTATAATATGAATTTTGTTTTTATAAGATTTATTTGAATTACACTAAACTGCTTATATCTGTATATCCAGGTCTTATATTTTAAGCATTGTTTCCATTCCAGTGTGGCCCAATCTATCTTTCTTTAATATTTCTCATCTTCTCGTGCATTTGTAGGTGAGCAAAGAGTTTAAGATAAGCATCTTTTATGGCATAGATTTAATCTTCTTGAGTAATACTTTCTCTTTCCTACTCTCATTTTACTTCAATTACATTTTTTATGCATTATAAGCATTGTTTTTATATCTTGGATTAAAAAAAACCTACCCCATCCACCCAGCATAGGTAATTAGTAGATATTTTATTTTTCTCCAACTACAATTTCTTTTCAGAAATGGTATGCACAAAGTGAGGTTGAAAGTAAGAGAAAAAGGGGAAAAAAAGAGAAAGAATAAATGAGACTTAGAAAAAAGAATATCTATCTATTTCTCTACTTAGAAAGAGAGGAATTTTGAAAAAGAGAATCTATTTTCCTTACTTTAAGAGTAAACAGAGTGACTCGGTTAGGGGTAGGAAAATAAGTCTTCTGATCTTCCAAGTCTGAAGTTAAAGGGTATTTTTCCTGGGTTAGTTATTTCTCTAAAAACTTGTTGAAAATTATCTTATCAACATTACACTCAGGGATTAGGAGCTATGTTTTCAGGAGGCTCTAGGAAAAGGAACTTTTGCTATCTAAGGGAATGAACATGTAATTGGAACCCATTTGGTTAATACTACATTGTAGGTAAGGTTTATTTAAGAAATAAAAGGAAATGCTGTAAGGGGACAGTGTGACCATCAACTAATATCTTTTGATGTGTCAGTAGGAACATGGCAGAATAAGGATCACTCCGTAAGAAATTACATGCCCTAATAAGTGGTCAGACAGGTAAGAGAGTTATGGAGCAGCAAGAAGCCAAGAACACTAATTTCAAGGTTGCAATAAGAGAACCCAGAAACTTTTTTATAGAGCAGAGAAAAATGTATAGTTATATTAACATCTTATCTGGGTTTTCCCTATTAGGTCATTAAACTTTAGGGCAGGGGGGAGGGGCTTGAGTTTAGGCCTAGACATTCTAATATCCGTTCCAACAGATTTAATCAATTATCTTCTTGGTCACTCAGGGAGGGGAAATAAGAAATAATGTTGATTTTTTCTGGGTGATGATTCAGAAAAAAGTTATAGAAAAGTGCAATATTGTCAAATCCTTAATTTGAAGGACATATGGCTCCTGGGTCAATGGTCTACATTAAGCAAAATGAATGTAAAACTTACTGCAAAGTTTATTTTCACAGTCATTTGGACAGTCCCCACATGGACTTCCTGCATTATAAGGTTTATCCCTTTTGGCAGGATCATTTCCCCTTAAGAAAAAGAACAAAGGAAAAGGTGATGTAATAAAATTAATGCTTGGACAATGCATATAAAATTTTACTCACCATTTATAATCAACTTTGAAAACAATTTTTGAAAACCACTTCTAGATAATGATGATAATCTTTTTTTTATGTTATGTTAGTCACCATACAGTACATCATTAGTTTTTGATGTAGTGTTCCATGATTCATTGTTTGCATATAACACCCAGTGCTCCATGCAATATGTGCCCTCCTTAATACCCATCACTGTGCTATCTTTAAGATAGGTTTAAGATTTCTAGACTTGCAATGATCACAATTTATCAGGCAACTGTGGGGTCCTAAGAACATTTTGAAAGAATTGACCCTATTCAGACAGTTAAGTTCTAACAAGACTGGAACCTATGAACAGTCAAGTCTTAACAAGCAGAAGAGCTTTAGAGGGATTTATAATTTGTCATTTTTCTTTATTTATACCCATAAGGACTTGGTAAGCAGTAATGTAAAAGGATATGTTAAGAACATTTTAAGTGAGTCAAATTGGAGGTGTTCTATTCATCTTGCACAGTATCATGAGAAACTTGATGCATGTTACTCTTGTGTAGAAACACATGGAGCATTATAAAAGATGAAAATTCCTCAGTATGGCTAAATCTAAAGTGGTAGATTTGGGGAGAGAGAATAGATGAGAATTTCTAGTTCTAAGCTAATACAAAATTCAGAGAAGACAGTTTTACCTGCAGATATCTAAGAAAACAATGTGGATTATAACTGATTCTTACTTCATATGCTTGAAAAATAAAGTAAATGTTCTGGTTAAAATAGCATTCTAGTTGATATTTTTCCCTTTGATATGTGAATTGCTAGAATTTCATTTTTTTTTTCCATTTCTTTTTTAAAGTAAGCTTTATGCCCAATGTGGGGCTTGAGCTCATGAACCGGAGATCAAGAGTCACCTGGTCTACCAACTGAGCCAGCCAGGTGCCCCAAAATTTCACTTTAAAGAAGAAACTTATTACTTAATTCAGTAAGGACTTTTGTCAGACTCTTGGCCTAATCTTTGCTGCAGAATATTCTCTATCACAGCTCTATGTGTTTTACTTTTGTGTAATTGTCAGTTCACCAGAAACCACCACCAGCCCCTGAAAGATTTAGTACAATGGATGTGTTATAGATGCAAAGAGATCTTACTGTCTTCAGTACTAATTATATAGATAAAATCATAACAAATATTAACTACTGAAATCAAGTAATGATAAGATCAGAAAATAAGTCATATATAGAGCTCTTATATAAATATATCTATTGAATCTACACTGATATTGGAGGCCTCATTTAAAGTATAAATATTGTAGCCTATTAACAGATAAATAATTTTCACTGATTCATATTGAACATTTTTTATTTTGCAACACAAAATAATGGGGGATAGCAGTTAAACACCATGCTTGGAGCTCATAGTATGATGGAAAATTTGCATACTCAACTATTTAAGTATGGCAGGTTGAAGGAGACAAATGCAGACCACTCATTAACTTTCCTTAGCAGAGTATATTTAAACAGGCATTTGTAGTGAACTATTAGAGGACTATATCAAGCTTTGAACAATCTCTAATTTCTCATGATTACCACTGGAGCCACACAGTGTGCTCCTGTGGGCTCCTACAATCATCTTTGTCTGAAATTGATCTTGCTTAAAGAGGCAAGGACAAAGGTAGGGCAAAGGTAGGGCAAAGGAGTCCACCTGCCCTTCACTGAAGCAATCAGATTATCTCTTCTAGGAGTTGTTACTCACACCTTGATTAACATGTAAATTTAATTTCTAAAGAAAAGGCATATACCAATAGTTAGACTAACAAGAACACTTCAATTTTTCCATTTGTTTATTCTTGATACTCCACTATATTTCTGCCCTTGCATTCTAAATATACTCTAGATTGTTGAAGTAAATATCGTTGTTTTTTTGCTTATGCTAATCAATAACACAGAGCAAGACTACTGGTAATAGCTTTGAATTTGGACATTCTATTAATGAAATATAAATATAAATTTATTTTAAAAATATGACGTAAATAAAATTGTGTGTGTGTGTGTAATGTTTTTAGGTATTGGCTAAATGACATTTTATCCCTAAAGTTCTGCTTAACTGAAATGAAATATTTATTTGAGCTTTCTTTTATATTGTTTGAGAAACTGGATTATGTAAGAGGGATATATTTCTAAAGGCTTTGTGAAACCAAACTGTATAATACATACTCATGACAATAGTGACAAACATAGAGATACTGAGTTGACAATCTTTTGTCGCATGATGATATTCCACAGCCAATGAGGTAAGAAGTGGCCCAAACAATCTGTAATGATAAAGAGATTATTTTATTAATAATTTGACTTTTGCTAAATGATTACAATACGAATATTGTTATCCATGGTTGAAAATAAACATGTTTGCTTTTAGGATGCTTTGAGCATGGCTTATTAGGAAGTCATAGAAACAGAAAGATTTCCATGTGTCTGGATAGCACACATACATATGCACACTTATTGGCCATCCTTAATCCTGGCTCACTCTATTATCAAATCTATATGGAAAATCAGGTAACATGATGAAGGCTTGTTGGTGATTATATCAAGATCAAACCATGGGAGGAACTTTACTTAATCATCAGAGCAGAAGCATGGCATAGAGTAGAGTTGGCCTTTGAGACCAAGCATCTTGGTTTCAAATTCTATCTCTACCACTTCCTGGTTGTATGGTATTTACCAGTTTACGTTTTGAAATTTTATTTTTTTATTTGTAAAATGGGATAAAATAATACTATCTTCTACCTCATAGGTGTATCGTGGGAATTGGATAATAATTTTTTTAAGTGTTTGGAAGAGGAAATATTAAGTTACTATCTGAGTGTGATGGAACTAATGGTCTTGGATGTAAATAGTGGGTCTAGGCTACCTTTATCTGAAAGACATATAAGGTTGGAATTGATATCACAAATTTGTCAGATTTTTAGCTCCAAGGGTGATCATTCTATTTTTATCCTCTAATTGTTTGATAAGGCAAATTATGTGAATAAATAGTCTGATGTTATAACATTCTTGGATTCCTAGAACATATCCTTTTTGTCCAAGGGTGTCAATTTTAGAATCAGAATGCTATTTGCTAGTCTTTTACTTAGAATATCTGCATTGCTATCCATAAATGATTAAGTCTATGATTTTTAAATAGGCAGTCTTGAAAAAGCAGACAGAAGTTGGAAGTCTTATGCTTTCTAATATCAAACCTTACCACAAAGCTACAGCAATTAAAACAGTGGTACTGGCATAACATTAGACATATAAACCTGAGAAATAAAATAGAGTCCAGAAATAAATCTTCACATATATGGTCAAATGATTTTCAACAAGGATGCCAAGATGATTCAGTGGGGACAGGACTGCCTTACCACAAGTAAAGTTGGAAAAACTAGATATCTACAAGCAAATAAATGAAATTGGTTCCTACCTTCCACCATATAAAAAATTAACTCAAAATGGATTAAATACCTAAGTGTAAGAGCTAAAACCATAAAAAAACTCTTAGAAGGAAACATAAGGAAAAAACTTCATGATATTGAATTTGGCAGTGATTTCTTGGATACGACACCAAAAGCACAGGCAGAAAAGGAAAAAAAATAGATAAATTGGACTTTATCAAAATTTAAAACCTTTGTGCATCATAGGATACTATCATCAGAGTGAATAGGCAGTCTATGTAATAGGAATTAATGATCTCACTTCTATGTGGAATCATATACCTGCTAAAGCATAGATATCCAGAATATATAAAGAACTCTTACAACTCAGCAACAAAAACCCAAATAATCTGATATAACCCAGCAACTCTAACTGGAGATAGAACCTCTACAGAAGTAATTTAGGTTAAATGAAGTTCTAAGGGTGGGACCATAATCTGATAGCGCTCATGTCCTTATAAGAAAAGGCACCAGAGTGCTGACACTCATGCTCTCACTCTCTTTCTCTCTTTCTCTGCAAGCCCGCACAGACAAAAGAAAAGGAAAGTCTGTGCAAGGACATAATGAAAAGAAGGCAGAAAGAGAGCTCTCACAGAAACCAACTATGCTGCAGAAGTTCATAGACTTCCAGCCTCCAAAACTGTGAGAAAATAAGTTTGTTGTTTAGTCCATCCAGCCTGTGGTACTTTGTTATAGAAGTCCAAGCAGACCAATACAGCACAGATGTGAAGAAATCAGAAATTTCATTGCTGCTGGGAATGTTAAATAATGCAGCTGTTGTGGAAGACAGTATGCCAGTTCCTCAAATAATTCAACATACGATTACCATGTGATCCAGAAATTCCATTTCTCAAAAGAATTGAAAGCAGGATATGAACAGATATTTGCACACCAATATTCATAGCAGCATTATTATCAATATCCAAAAGTAGAAACAACCTAAATACACATCAGTGAATGAATGGATAAAAAACAGGTGATATACACATACAATGGAATATTATTCAGCCTTAAAAAGGAGTAAAATTATGGCACGTGCTACAACATGGATGAACATCAAATGAGGATATAATGCTAAGTGAAATAAGGCAGACACAAAAGGACAAAAATTGTATGATTCCAGTTATATGAGGTATCTAGAGTAATCAAATTCATAGATAAAGAAACTAGAATGGTGCTTGCCAGAGGCTGGGGAGGGGGGAAAATGGGAAGTCATTGTTTAATGGGTACAGAGTTTGGGAAGGTGAAAAGTTGTGAAGATGTATGGTAGTGATTGCTTCATAACAATTTGAATGTAGTTAATGCTACTGAACATTAATACTACATAATTTTAAAATGATTAAAATGGAAAATTTTATAAAATATATTCATATGTGCATATCCAAATAGTTATTATGTGTTATATATATGAAAATATTATATATGATAAATAAAAATAATATATGTATATATTTTACACATACATACATATATACATATAATTTTACCATAATAAAAATAAACTAGGAAGAAGAGGATTCTCTGTATTATAAGGTACTATTATTTTCATTCTTTACACATATTAGAAATGTAATTTATAAGTGACATTGATGTTTTATGATTTTGTTAATTCCCAAAAGTCCAAATGTATAAAAAAGGAGACTAAACAGTTAAGCAGCTTCTCTAAGCTATCCGTTGAGGGAATCACATTTCCTTATGTTTCAAATTATAATAGGAACTCAGTGGGTCAAGTGTAAGTTTGCGAAAAGTGGGTAGAATAATTTTCTCAGTCACCTATTTTCCACACATGCTTATAGTCATTTAAACAATGTGTATATTTGCAAGTACGCAGGTTACCTGAGTGTAATGCTCAAATGTTATGTCATCATCCGTTGATGTCCATTCCCCGTACTTGAAATATTTAGATTCATTGTACCAGATTTTAATTACATTTGACCATGAGATAGGATAAGTTGTCAAATGCATATTTTCTCCACAAAAAGTATCTGAAAGGGAGAAAAAAAGTCTGAGTCATACTTGAAGAAACTTCTAAATATATTACAAGGATATTTTCCTCATTTTCATTTTACAAATATTCCACTGGTCATCCAAGCAATGTCTTATAAAAGAAAACAAACTCAGCTGTATCTCTGCTGGCAATCATCTTTTTCATTGATGAGTGAACTTGTGGTACTTAGGTTTGGTGAGAAGTTGACAGTAGGAGATGATGTACAAGCTTGGAAATCAGATCAACATTTCAGTCTCTGCCACTTCCGAGCTGTTGAGAAGGGTGAAACCAATCCAAGTAGCCAATGGGTTGTAACAGGACCCATGACTGGAAAACAGCCACAGAGGTATTCCTTATGCAAGGACCTTGAAATAAATATTTGCTCATTTAGCCATCCACTTGTGATATGGGTTCTTGGTCAAAAATGAAATTTAGGAGTGATCTACCTTTTTCTGGGGCAGAAAAGACTCATACTGCTAATTCATGGGTCAAAACATTGGGCAAAAATGCCCAATAATCTGTAAATATGGAAGTTTCATTAGTATTTTAAAAATATTTTGTAATAAACAAGCATCTCATAAATGTTAATAATGTCTACTTGTATAGGAAGTACTAATAGATTTTCTGGAAACTAGCCATGATCCACCTAATATATATGCCATGAGATGGACTTATTTATGAACACCTAAATTTGTTCTCATGTATAGCTCAGTAGAGTTGAATAGAACTCACCTCTCAACTGTATTAGTATTTCAAAGCCAAAGATATCCCTAGGGTGATATTGTGTGTAGCTGAAATAACTACATAGAGTGGAAAGCTTCTAGCTATCCAGCTCTTCATCCAGTTATCACTGTATTACTCAACTATTCTGTAATATTGAGAACTTTCTTATTTTTTTTTTATTTTTTTTTGCTATGTTAATGATTCTTATTTCTGATGATCAGCAATTGGAATTTGAAATTTGAATATCCAAATTTAAAAATTAATAATAAGAAAACAGTGTGGTAGGCCACCATCCACTGTCGTTTATGGGGCCATATCATAGACTGAATGACTTAACTTACGCTTGCCAGGTTACTTAACAATTCCTAAGGACTTTTGAGTACAGAGGTAAGTTATTCAGATGTATACCCACTTGTAATTCGTCTCTTAATTGAGTTGCTCTCTCTTAATTCACACTGCTTTGACAACATTCTGGCATTTTGTGCAGCTTCTTCACTCCAATCCTACAGTGGAAGAGTAAAATATAAGCATGTGGTCTTATTGGCATTTCCATGATAATATTCTAGTTTATTGTTTCTAAAAATCCAAGGCTAGCAATATCCTCAATTTTATAAGCTAACAATTTAAACAATAATATTAAATGTTCTGGTTGGAAAAGGAAGACAAAACTTTTGGCTCACTATGTTAGCCCTTGAATTAACAAAATCAAAATTTGGTAATAATGTTCAGATGTAGCTTCTCTCTCAGAAGTGTGAAAGGTTCAAGTAAATGCTTTCAGTAAAACAGATCAGGGTTAGAAATCCATTCCATTATTTATTAGTAGTTTTATCTCTAACACATTATTTAATCTTTTTGAATATGTTCTTCATCTATGAAATGTGACCCATCATTCATGCCTAATAGTTTGTTCTAAAGTTTTAATGTAGTAATTCATGCAATACAATTGTGATATGACAAATCTTATACTATGTGCTCAATAAATAAACAATGGCTATGTACAGTGTCACACATCTCCATCTAAAATTATAAATAATACTAAAAAATAGTAGCTAATACCACATGCCGGGGTATGTTACCAGTTCTGTATGTATATTTTCTCATTTTGATTCAGAGCAACCCTACAAGGGAAGTATTATTATTATCCCCATTTGCAAATGGGGAAACTGAGGCACAGAGATGTTGCATAATTTCTCAGGATAACACAACCAATAAATAGCCAAGAAAGAATTAGAATCCAGGTTATTCTGTCTTCAGAATGTGTGCTCTTAACTCTTAATGTGTGTCAATTATGTGTCAATTGAGTTGAAGCATTTTGTCAGGTGTATCTCCAAGTAAGTTGAAAGGAGGCAGAAAGTCTGTATCACTAATTATGGGGACAAATGTTCTCCCTAACACTCTTTAATCCTTACACTGTGTACATCCACTTAAAAGACTCCCAATATCTGAATGCAACACATCACCAACAAAAGTTGTAGACTTCATTTTTTACTACAGGTTTTGACATAAATCATTCACTTACTCTTTAGAATAAGTTTTGGATGACACCTGACTTAGATTTTCAACATTTTTCTTGGTGGCAAAGAAGTTTAACTGTTATATGTGTATGCTTCCATCTGTGTTAGTTTTACAGAATTGCCCTTCAGGTTGAAGGAATTTACTAAACCTTGAGATGAATTAAGTAAGTCATTAACCTAAGCTCAAAGCAAAAATATGGTTTTACTCAGCATAATACCCTCCAGTTCCATCCACATCGTTGCAAATGGCAAGATTTAATTTCAAAAACTAATTATGTAGTGTATGGTGATTAACATAACATAATAAAAAAGTTGTCTACCTTAAAAAAACAAAACAAAACAAAACATGGTTTTGTAAGGTTTGATTGTTTCATGCAAGAAAAGTTGTATTTTAGTAGTGGATACATCTACCCGAGGTCGTAGAGATGATACAACACATCCTGTTAGGACATAGGATCTCCTGGCAGTGGGAATATCATCATTGTAAAAAAACCTTAGTAAAAAAAACCATGCCTATTATGACCGGGTTACCAAGTGATTAGGACTAGAATTTATCTGGGTAATTTACAGCTCATTGCTTGTTGTGTATGCTGTGATGTACTACCAGGTCACTTTCTGAACTGAAGCACTTATTTCCTCTTAAGCTGAAAGTCATGTCCACTGACAGCTCTACTGTATGTCCTTTCTAAAAATTGTCCTGCATCCAGGAGCATAATCCCTTCCCTGGGGTAATCCATACCCAATATCTGGTCAATGTGGGAACTGTAAATTCCAAGCCACTTCCCTCCTACTCAGGACAGCTCCAAAGGGTTGTCTTAGTTGTACAGCTTCCAGAATTATCTGAGCCCTCTGTTGTGACTACATCATAATCCAACTTTTCCATATGTCCACTGCTGCTTCTCTCTCTACCTCCACAGGTAGGTGTCAATCTGGGGATTGTTCTCCAATAAACATTCTGTGTGCTAATCTCCATCTGAGTATGCTTATCTTGTCACATAAACTACCTACAACATTCATTACATACAGTCTGTGGTTCAGACCTCTTTGAGGAAGCTGTCTGGGATATTACCTCTGATTCATATTGGTAAGATGCTCCTTTTTTTTTTTGTGATAGATCCATGATTAAAATCACAAGTGGGTATTCATGGTTATTACACCAAAGCTATGAATTCTGGCTTTAATACATGGTTCCATTTAATCGGTTTCTAACCTTATGCACGGAAACTTTTTCAGAAAATCTCTGCCTGACAGCTGTGATTGGCCCTTCAGCCCTGCTGTAACTCTATCAGTTCCTTTCTAGCCACATCCAATGCATTGTTTATGGAACAGCTCAACTCTCATATTCCTTTGAAAATCTGATTCAGTCTTACTGGTCACCTAATTTATGGTCTTGTTGATCTCTCGTACCTTTACACTTTAGCACTTGAATGTATTCATTCTTACATTACATTCTAAAATTCCCTTTGTATTTGCCTTTAACCCACAATAATAAAATCTCTGAATCAGAGGCTATATTTTCCATTTACTCTAAAATTTCTTTAGAACCTCCTAGCTAAATGTGTTTGCTCTTTTGGAAACCAAGTTAGTTTAGACCCTGTTGGAGTCCAGTGAGTTTGGACCCTATTTGTACTAAGGGAGGTATGTAGTGAAGAGCAGCTGCCTGGAGCTGTGCCATTTGCATTTGAATCTGCACTTATTCAGTACTTATTACTTTGGATTTTAACTAATTTCTCTGAGGTGCAGATTCATTATCTGTAAAATGGAGAAGACAGTATTATCTGCATCACAGAACTGTTGATTTAAATGAGTTAATGTAATAAAGTTCTAAAAGAGTGCCTGTCAATAGTAAGTACAATCTACATTTCAGGCACAACACTCAATGCAAGAAGGCCTATGACAGCTACTGATTTTTATTGTGCTGTTTAAATAACATTTTCTATTTTAAGCTGACCAAGAGATAAATTTCAAAATAATGCTTTTATTCACTTGCTTCCCACCCTTTGTCATTTGTATGAGGAAGCTGTCCCTTAGAATCATTCTCCAGAGCCAGCGCTATTTCTAATTCTTGTACTCTAGACCAGTCCAAGGTTAAAGGGACCAGGATAAGTTTGCACAAAAACCTGAGTGATACTTCTGGGAGATAATACATATGCAGCTAATCACCTGGTACATCTGAGACTGCCCTAAATTTGTTTTTTTATAGCACCTAGTGTGCACACACACCAGGTTTATAGTGGAAAGTACAATTCTCTTTTTATGGGATGCAAGGGAACTGGGAAATAGGTTTGTCAATATTGGCTTATCTGGCAGCACCACCTGACTTAGAATCTGGACATCTTGATTCCCAGATGAGTGCCTAGCCTCTGGGCTGTTGCCCCATGAAGACAGTTATGAATTGCCTCTATAACTTAAAGCTCGCTATGCAGACAATACTGGCCGGCAGCTTCAGCTTCAGCTGGCAGCTTGCAGGGGTCTCCACCCCAGACTTTCCAAATCAGCATCTCAGAGAGTGGGGCCCAGGAATCTGTGTTTTACCGAGTTTTTCAAGCAGTTTGTTCAAGATTGAGAAGCACTGTCCTAGGGTACATTATGAATGAAATTAGACTGTCTGAGTTGGAATTGTTGCTCTGTCATTTAATAACTGATTTTGGGAAAGTTCCTTGCCTCCTCCATGCCTCCATTTCTTCCTCTCTCTTTTTTTTTTTTTTTTAAGATTTATTTATTTATTTGAGAGAGAGAGAGAGAGCACACAGACACAGAGGGAGAGCGAGAAGCAGACTCCGCTGAGCAGGGAGCCTAATTCAGGGCTCTAACCCAGGAACCTGGGATCATGAACTAAGCTGAATGCAGATGCTTAACTGACTGAGCCACCCCAGGTACCCCTGTGCCTCCATTTTTCTGCTGCTAAGTCATAGGTTTGTTTGGGAAGACCAAACTTTTAGTATACTGAAAGTGAAGAGAACTTAATAAAAACTCAGTAAACACTATTACTATTATTAACATCGTCGTTGTTGCTGTTTAATTAATCTTACCATCTTCAGCATGTTTCTGGCTGATGGAACTACTCCTCTCCTGAGGGTGTTATGTACAGTAACGATTTCTTCTTGGACAGTTGCCAATTCAGTGAGGAGTGTATTATATGGAACATATGGAACTGGAGCTGGTTTTGCCTGTGATCAGAAAATTATTAATTAGTCTTAATTCTTTTATGTGTAATTCATCATGTATATTACTTGCAGACCTATAGCAATATGAATTTGTAGTTTATATTGAATGGATAATGATCTACAGCATTTTAAAATTAACAATTGCTCAATAGATTAGTTTCCATTTCTCCAGTGCTAGTCTTGTGGGTTTCTGAATGTCATCTGACATTATACAAGTATATAGCATAATGCCCTGGATATCCTGTGATTGGGTTTTTTCAAATTTATGGTACTTTGGGCCATGTTAAAGTACTTTTTATCAGGCAATATAAACCATAGTGGAAGATATCTTGATATCACACCTTTATTGACTGACTTCTCTTCCTTGGCTCCTATCCCACCCTACTTCCTGCAAGTGTTCTCTTTGCTTCTTAAATAAACCACTTGCACTTGAATGCTGTCTAAAGGATGTGTCTAATCTAAGATATTAATTATTGAATACAAAGCCTCCAGTGTCTTCAACTCAGATTCTACCTTTTCGTCTTATGCCTATGAAAAAACATTAGCATTTTTATACATATATGTAAGTATAACATAATTAAAATCAGCTACAATCCAGAATTAATGACTATTCTTTTAATTTATCTTGCAACTAAGAAGAAACTAAACAGCTTTAATATTTTAGGTTAGCATTAATTGCTATAAAGAGCAGCTTCTTCTGTGTGTGTATTATCTATCACATGCACTTCATTCCTTTTGTTTAAAAAGTGGCAAAACATATGTAATATAATTTGAGTAGTATCTCTTTATTCCTCAAGTACCAAAGGACTATTAGCAATTTCTGAATGGATAGGATCCAACACCATACCTTGCTCAAATTTAGTAGTTATTTCATTTATTTTATATCAACATAAAATAGGAATGGGGCAAAGGCCTAGATACGGAATCCAGAAGACCCCTCCAGAGACTGTCCCCTGTGGACATCATTTCTTCAAAAGCCCACTCATGTGGTGCTATTTTCCTCCATACTTCAGGTAGCTCTTGTCTAGGCTAGAGGAGAGGTGGGGAGCCACCAGAATTCCTTTATCATAGCCAAATTAATTTTCCTTGTTCCTCTGAACTCTGCTCCAGTGAAACTCAAGACATACTGCTCTACCATCTCATTTCTGAACATTTATTTTCTGATAATGTTTTCCTATCAATTCCTCTCATTCATTTAATTTGGGACTTCTGGGTTTTTTTTTTTTTAAGATTTCTTTCTTTCTTTCTTTCTTTCTTTCTTTCTTTCTTTCTTTCTTTCTTTAGGGGAGATAGAGAGAGCACGAGCTGGAGCAGGGAGAGGCAGAGGAAGAAGGATAAGCAGACTCTCTGCTGAACAGGGACCCCCATGAGGGGCTTGATCCCAGGACCCTGAGATCATGACCTGAGCCTAAAGCAGATGTTTAACTGATTGAGCCATTCAGGTGCCCTGAAACTGGGCCTCCAAACAAGCTCTCAAGGGCCTTCTGAAACAAATTCATCCTGTCCACCCTAACTTCTGCAGTCAACTCAAAGGACTTCAGCATTCACATGGATGGTTCCAAACATCTGATATCTCAGGCCCTTGAATTCTTCCTCTTTTAGATCTCTCCTCCAAGTCTCTTTAGTCTCCACGATGATGGTCACAGTCTATATCTCATAATCACTCCAAATGCCAAATCATCTGGTCAAACTTTTCCCTGCCTGATCAGGATTTCCTACTCTTCCAGATTGCTAAGGTCAATCACTCTGACTATTTTCAACATAATCTAGTCTTTTAGCTCATTCTTCATTTTCTCTATTTTCCCTCTCTTGTCTTTTCTTTCTTTTCTATTCATGTTCTCTTATTTCAAACTTTCTTGCTAAAATATTGAATCCTTTCCCACCCATTGTCATTTAGGAACCCGCCCACTTTGGGTGGGACCAAAAATTTCCCTGCCCGCACAGAGTCAGATGAACATTAGCAGAAAAATACTCCACAAAATGCCAGATATTGGTATCATCCAAAATTCTGATGTCTAATCTCAAATAGTGCTTTAATTTGGTCATCAATTCTACTAATTTACCTAGTTAATTCACCTTGTCTTTCTTCATAATGTTATTGCAGAACTTGTGCACTCTACCCCAATCACATTGACCTCTCTCAGTAGAATCTGGTATGTCCTACTTTCCTCAGTAAAGAGGCAGCTATTTCAGCTTCTCTTGGTCAGTCTACCAATCTGCCTCTATTTGTTCTCATTCTTTCCTCCTTATCTCTTGTGGTACTACTGAACAGATCATACTTTCCTGGTTTTCTTAAACCATTTATTGAGGTATAATTGACATGTAAAATCTATACATGTTTAATGTATACAATTCAATGAGTTTGGTAAGTATACACTTGTGAAACCATCTCCACCATCAAGACAAACAAACAAAAGAACACAAACATAGCAATCACCTCTCAAAGTTTCCTCCTGCCCCCTTTACTGTTACTATTGTTATTATTTTGTGTATCTTGTAAAAGCATTTAACGTAAGATTTACCCTGGATTTACCCTGGATTTAAAACTGGATGTCCACATGCAAAAGAATGAAATTAGACCCTTATATCACACCATACATTAAAATCAACTTGAAATGGATTTAAGACTTAAATATGAGACCTAAAATCATAAAACTCCTAGAAGAAAACATAAGTAAAAAGTTCCTTGACATTGGTCTTGGCAAGCACAGATGATAAAAGAAAAAATAAGCAGGTAGGATTGTATCAAACTAAAAAATTTCTGCACAACAAAGGAAATAATCAAAAAGATGAAAAGGCAACTTAATGAATGGAAAAACATTTTAAGCTATATATCTGATAAGCAATTAATATCCAAAATATAGAAGGAACTTGTATAACCTATGAGCAAAAAACAAAACAAAACAAATAAGCTGATTAAAAAATACACAAAGAACCTAAACAGTCATTTTTCCAAAAAAGACATATAAATGACCAACAGGTATATGAAAAGGTGCTTAACCTCATTAATCATCAGGGAAATGAAAATCAAAACCACAATGATATATCACTTCATACCTGTTAGGATGGCTATTATTAAAAACAATATTTCAAGTGTTGCAAGGATGTAGAGAAAAAGGAACCCTGATACACTGTTGGTGGGAACATAAAATGGTAAATCCATAATGGAAAATAGTATGAGGTTCCTCAAAAATTAAAAACAGGTCATTCTTTCAAAAGCTATTTCTCCCCAGTGTTATTTATTCCATTCTCTTCCACATTTCCCCAAATCTCACATTACTCATTATTTTTCCATTGTATCTTCAACCAATTCTTTTGTCCTTCCCACTGTATTTATTCATAATCATGTTGCTTGTAACTTAAAATAAACAAACAAAACTTTTCATTTATTTCAGTTCCCCATTCAATCATTGTACTTTATACTTTCCTTCCCTATCAAAATTCCTGAAAATGTTGCCAGTACTGGATGTCTATAATTTCCCACCCTTTAAGCAATATAGTCTTCATTCACCTTTCCCCCATTTATTCCACTAAAACAAGGGTTCTATAACAGGAATGATATACCCCCTCCTTAAGTCCCCCCTTCCTTCCCCAGGCATTAAACAATGTCTAGAAAAATTTCTGGTTGTCATGACTGAGTTGGAGGGCATGCTCTGCCATCTTGTTGATAGAGGCCAGTGATTTTTGTTAAACATCCTAAAAAAGCTCAGGACAGACCCTCTTGACAAAGAATTATTCCATAACAAAATGTAAGTAATTCTGAAGCTGAGATACTTTACTTTGAAACAACTCCTATTAAGGTCACTAACAAGCTTAATTTGTAAATTCAATGTTTTTTTAGTGTCTTCATTCTACTTGATTTATTGGCCGCTAACTCCCCTGACTAAACTCTCAGTGTAGAAATAGTCTTTCCGTGTAAGGGACAACACATTCTCTTCATTTTTCTCTGAACTCTCAGACTTCTCTTTCTTCACCTGGACTGACTATGGCTATAGCCTGGCCTCCTACTGACCTCCCAGCCTTCAAAAACACCCTTTCGCCTCTATTTCTCCCCTCCCACTCCCCATCCAGTCTTTCACAATCCATTCTCCAGTCATCCACCAGAGTAAACATTTCAAAACACTGACACAATGGAGTCCCTTTCCTGTTAAAAGTCTTTCAACAATTTCTTAGAAATAAAAACTATATTTTTTACAAGGCCTGTGAAGGCCCTGCTGACCTCTCACCCTCTATTTAAGATATGCTCCCTTACTTTTCTCTTCTTTGGTCTCAATGATTTTCTTTTAATCATTGCAATGAGCCTGTTTTTATTCTGCCTTAGAATATTTGCCCAAGCCTGTCTCTTCATTAGTATACTCTGTCAGCTTGTTCTACCAAGTGATTCCAGTTTATCCTTCAGATCTCAGATCTATCATGTCCTCCTTACCAGAGAAGTCTCTAATTACCTCAGACAAGATCAAATCCTGTTATTACCTGATCACAACTCCCTGTACTTTTCCTTCAAAGATCTTTTTGTGTAACATCTACTAGATTCTCATGGAAAATTCTATATGTCAGTAAAAAGTGATTTCTGTCCAATTAGATGCCTAGTAGCTCAGTAAACTGTAACATTGAAGGGGAGTTTAAAATAAGATTCAAGCCTAGTCATTAGTCCATTTGCTTTCTACCTGGAATCTAAAAGAGAATATACCATATTGTTTATTTTTATTGGACAAATAGTAACAGTTTATTATTTCCTTTAACTAGGATTCATGTTTAAATTTTATGCAATGAATTTGTGTTTGGAGCTTAGTAATTCCTGCTCTACATTCTCAGCTTTTTGAATTATCCTGAGGAGCTATAATGAAATTGGCATAAGCCCATGGAGCCAAACTGGTTAGGTTTACTTCCAGGGTCTGCCACTTCCCAGTTATCTGACATTGGCCACATGACTTCACCTCCCTATGCTTTGGTTCTTTTCTCTGCAATGTGAAATTAAGAATAGCACTCGCCTACTAGAGCCTATGGTGAGACCAAGGTGAGTAACTGGCATAGAGTCCTCACAACAGTGTCTGTAACAAAATGAGTTCTACAGGGGTAGCTCTTATCCTTTTCTGGAAAGTAATTATGAAACATACAATCCTCACATACTCTTATAATCAAAATAGGCAGGAAACCAACAGCGGCAGCCAGATACAGGAAGTATTTCATTGTCATCCCTGAAAAGAAAACATAAATTTAGATTATTATCAACTCCTGGGATTATAATAACCCTGTTTTATTATAACCCTGTTTTCAAACCTCTTTTGCATATATATTTACATTTTCTGCAAAAAGAGACCCGCAAGATCAAAACTAAGTTGAATATGTTAGTCAGTGGAACCAACAAAGGAAGACAGAACTGTAATTGGAAGAAAGATAGATTTCATGTCTTAATCACCAGAACCTTGGAATATGTTACATTACATGACAAAAGAGAATTAAGGTAGCAGATGGAATTCAAATTGCTAATCAGCTGGCTTCAAAGTAGGGAGATTGGGGCACCTGGGTGGCTCAGTTGGTTAAGTGTCCGACTCTTGATTTCGGCTTAGATCATGATCTCAGGGTCCTGAGATAGAGTACTACTTTGGGCTCCATGCTCATTGGGGAGTCTGCTTAAGATTCTCTCTCTCCCTCCCCTGACTCCCATGCACACGCACACACACACACTCTCTCTCTAAAATAAATACATCTTTAAAAAAGTAAAAAAATAAAGGGAGATTATCCTGGATCATCCATGCAAGTTCATAAGGGTACTTAAATGTGGAAAAGGGAACCAATGTCAGTGAAGGATCATGAGAAAAACTGGACCTATCATTGCTGACTTTGAAGACAGAGAAGGGAACATGAGCCAAGAATGTGGGCAATCTCTGGAAGTAGGAAAAAGCAAGGAAATGGATTCTCCTATGGTGCCTCCTTGTTGAATCTTGATTTTAGCCCACTCAGTGAGACCCATTTGGACTTTTGACCTCCAGAGCTATAAGACAATAAATTTGTGTTGTTTTAAGACACTAAGTTTATAGTAATTTGTTACAGTAGCAACAGAAAACTTATATAAAAACACAAGATTATATCTGAGTTCTCTATTGCCTATAGAGAAGACATGTGATCATAGCCTTAGTAATTTATATACATGACTTATATACATTCTGTATATATGATCACTCTGCTAAGAATGGTTGTCATTGTGAGTCAGGCAAATCAGAGCTAATATACCCTCTTCTTTATTTCTGTTTGATAAGGTTGCTGACTCTAGGGTATTCAATTTATTAAGTATAGGTTATTAAATTTGGTTAGCACCTTCTTTTAACAATCTGCCACGCTTATTTCTGAATTCATCCCTGCTGAGTGGAAAGCATTAAAAGCCAACAGTTTAGTTCTTATTTTAAAGAAAAATTTCAAAGAACTGGTTAAATGACTAGTGCTGAATAATACACGTAATGAGATTTGCCGTTGCTCTCAAGCTTCTCCTGCCCACTGCCAAAGAGGGGAATTCTGTAAATCAATTCTTTCAGGAAACATGAACATGCAAATAATCTCTTCTTTATCACTCTTTTTTTTCAATTCTTTCTTTCCCTTCCTTTCTTTCTCCTTCCAAAATGTCACATACCCCCAAACCTTCAGATTTATAGTACTATAGCACCATAGATGATGAAATATGAATTCCATTCTTTTACTTAATCCTCAAAAAATCCAGTAAAACAGATATTTTCCATCTGAGTTAACTGAAGAAAAAAATAAAATAAAAAAGAGCTTCTGCAATATAGTAGATTGATATATATATTTATCATACACACATTAATATTTATACCCATTCACACTGAAGTGTTGTTAATCAAGTTCTTCCCCATTATGAAGCTGTCTATAACTTCTGTTGCACTTCCTGACCGGAAATATGGAGTGATGGTGTGTATGCTCATTGCCTTAATGTTTACAATGCTTTCCTGAGTATACACTAACATGTACCTTAATTATACCTCAAACAATCTGTTATAAAAGGTTTAAGAAATAGAAAGAGTTACCTATTTCACATGAATCAAACAACTGGCACTAAAAATTTAGATTTTGTCTTTCAAGTATTTTTTTCCTTATATCCAAATTTAGTACTTAAATTTACACCTAAACAAATAATTTATATAAAATATTTTATCCTATTTTTCCCAGAATTTCTTTCTTTCTTTTTTTTTTTTTTTTGAGGACAACTTTTATTGCTACCAGAGGCTTTTATCATCAGTACATGGTTCTGACTGCAATACCTTCTTCAGACTGCACAGGGAGCTCAGGATCCATAAGTCATTAAGAGAAATACAGGTAGGGTAAATAACTTTCATCAAGAAAATACTAATAGCTTAGCATAAATCTAGGGTACTGAATTCAGTTATTACACGTTACAGACCCCAATCATAGGGCTGCCCCAACATCTAGACGGTCTCTCCTACTGATTATAAATGAGTGAAAACTGATCAGTTACCAAAAACAAAACAAAAAAACCAAAACCTTAGTTGTTACATGTTTCTTTGGTGAGCACCTGGATATACCTAACACAAATTCTTTTATACAAAAGTCAAAAATGCTTTCAACAAATCTCAGAGTGTCCTAATTACATGCCACTTTTAAGTTCCAATTTAAGATAAACAAAAATGAAAACAGTAATTTTGTTTCCAGCCTCCAAGAATTGAAATGAGACAAACACAAAATCAATGTGGTAACGCCAGTCCTTTTTCTATTACCACCTCTCATTCATATGGGGCAATTCTGAAGTACCCTTTTTGGATTAATCTGAATCCTGGATTAAACATGGCTGTCACACTGAAATAATTTATTCACCAAATTGCTAAAAAATGATTTTGAGGGTTTCCTAATCAGTGGAAGTCAGGCTATAGATCCACATGCATAAAGTTCATTAAGTATTCAATAAAGAAGCAAGCAAAAACGAGGAAAATTAAATCAGGATGCTGGAGACAGAGTGTGTGCCAGCTATGAATTCTGGAACTTTAAAAAAAACACTGAATATGAATCTTTGAGATGGGTCAATCTCCACTACATTTTAGCAGAGAAAAGGGTGGAACTGACAAACACTACAAAATTTTTTTTTTACTTTAAAAAAAATTTGGATCTTTTGAATTTCACACTTTTTTTGGTCTTTAAATGCTTAAATAATGTCGATTATAATTTGCCACACAAGTAAACGGGCTTTTTTTCTGGCTCACTTCAAATTGGCCTGCTAAGGTATGCACCTGTATATAGCCTTTCCTGGTTTTCCCATGTTCCCATTCCCAGAGTAGTCTACCTTAGTTTGCACTTGAAGGTAACACTGGAAGCTACATGACAGAAACTGGCTGCAAAGGTGGACAAGGGGAAGCATGCCCTCTTGCCTTGGTAAATCAGTGCCACATACAGAACCCACATTTTCCGAAGCATTATCTTCATTATAGAGCCATTTAAGTCCGTCATAGAAGTCATCCACTTCCATCTCCTCCACTTCGCCATTAGCAGAGGTATGCTTGCACCCACGGGCAGCTGGCGGCTGATGGCAGAAGGCTGCCGCACCTCTGCCTGGCACTTCCGATTTGCTGTTGTCCTTGGAGAAATCTGAATCTGGGCCTGCAACAGAGGAGGGATGTAATCTGAACACTCCTTTGTCACAGGTCACCAGGGTGTGCTTGAGGGGACGGTAGACATAAAGGGAATTTAGAGGCAGGGAAGACTGCAGAGAAGAAAGGTGATGCCCCACAAGCTCCTGACAGTGGATCAGCCGAGAGCGCTCCATCTGTGCTTTCTGAAGCAGTTCAGTTGTAAGAGGAAGCCACTCAGGAATAAGTTTCTCCATTTCCAAACTAACCATGGCCAGAGCAAGCATGGATCCTGTGAATTGTAGAAGTTGGTTGCAGGCCATACAGTGAAGGAGTTGCTTGGTAAGGACTGCCAAATGTTGAGAGGGGCTCAGTTTGGGCAAACTGAAAAGTAACTGAGGCCTACTTGACACTGCAATGGCATGGAAAATGTGAAGAAAATCCAATGGTGTAGCTGTGTGAAGATCCCAACTCAACTTATCCAGAATAATCCTCTCCATCCTCAGAATTTCTGACGAAGAACAACCGCAGAAACTGTCTCTTGCCAACACCATCAGCACTGGAATTCTCTCATCCTCCTCAACAGTCTTGGCAGCTAGGAAAAAACAGCTGATTGCAATACAACTCAAGTATTTTGGATGGGCCTTTACAGTAGCTAAAAACCTGCCCAAAAGACTGCTAGCCAGAGCAAATGTTTCTGGGTAAAGGCTGAATTGGTACTTGAGTTTGGCCAGCCACTGACTCACTTCATCTCTCTGGGATGGAGAAACATTCTGATTTGTAGGCATTTAATTTCAATTATTATAGTGTACTTCATCATTATTATTACTTATGCATATTTTAACACAAACACCAAGCCATTTTTAGGGCTTTTTTCATGAATAACCATAGGATTTGTGCTTCAAAATTGAAATCAGTTGAAATCTTTAGACTTTTTCTTAAGATGACTTAAATGTAATTTTATTTCTAAGTGTACCTGATATATAATAGTGTTTAATAAATATTTAATAAATGAATTAGTTGAAATAATTGGTTAATTCAGACACACACACACTCACATGTACATGCACATGATCTGTTAATTCATTATAGTGCAATATAATAAAACTCATGCTGATCCTGGAGTTAAAACACTACTGTTTTATCCTAGGTTGTCCTATTATCTATGATGCTAGCAGATACACAAGTTCTCTGAAAATCAACTTCCTTTTGTTTAGAATGAAGTCCAATATGTTGGAGATACAAATGGCATATCAGGAAAATATAACACAATCAGATCTTTAGTGTTTAATTTTTTTTTTCAAAATGCTGTAATCTGCTTAATGGGCTTCATAATCCAAGTTTAAAAGCATATCATATTTTATAAATGGAATCTAATTAATTCTGGTAGAAGTCCTTTGAAAACATACAGTACTGCCCATATTATTGTAAATATATAAAAAACACCCTGTAAATTTTACATACAAATATAATATCTTTCTTCTGCCATAAATGGGTAAAAAATCATTATTTTATGACATAAGATGCATAACGAATTTGATACAATCCTGTGTAGTGATGATTTAATGCTAGGATTTGTATTCTATGCAAGAATTGAAAACAATCACCAAGTAACTATTGCAACTCTTGAGAATGATTACAGGACAATTACTGTCAATGGGGATTATAGTTACCTTAGCATCTTTGGCTCCTCCAAAGAACTTTGATTTTTTTTTTCAGTAGCATATAATTTATTAATAACTAGCTGAAGTTCCTTGGTGGCTCTGTGTTAAATATCTTCCATTTATTTATTGACTTATTTTACTTAGCAGAGTTAAGGGCAAACTAAGGACAAACTCAAAGTTAAGGACAACTAAGCTGGAGGGTAAGTGCTAAAATAGAACCCTCAGCTCTTTGAGTCCAAGTTTTGGCTTGAGGTTTATGAACAGGTAAAATGTGCACACTCAACCAAAAACTCCTCAGAGAACAGAGGCTATAAGGAAAATAGGAGGATACTTTGTTTATTTAAGAGTCAAGTATACACTTGGAGCAACTGAATCAAAACATGAAAGTAAAGGTTAACACTTGGGCAACAGTAGTATGTTAAGCATTTTTGAATGAGGATTGAATCCAGGTTATTATGAAGGTATCTCTGTTGGCCAAGAATTATTATGAAGTACAGACTTTGGGGTCTGGGCTAGTCCTCAGAGATAGAGTTTGAGGGTCATGTTGAAGGGATGAAAATAACAGGCAATAGGCAGAGATTTGGGCAAACAGGGAATCCTGCAGAAGTAATCCTACACAAAGGTGCAGACATAGAGGTTAGCATTGGAGAGTGTGACTCAGAGGTAGAGTAGAGGTTGTAGGGGTGGAAAAATAAGTGGGTCCAGGGTGAGAGGTTCTGCGGACCCAGACTGAGGCATCTTCACTAGAGAATTAGAACAGAATTGGTCCCAGGGCCTGGACCAGAGCTAAACCTCCAGAATGGTCTGAATGATTCTCCATTGCTTGGGGGACTGCAAACCTAGAAACCAAATAGGTCATTTTAACCAAGGAATTATAGATGCATATACTCAGGGAAGGGCAGCTTTTCTGAACAGAGGTATTATGGGAGCAGTAGAAATATCACCTCACTGACTTCAGTATCAGTACTTATTTATCACAATAATTTCACATGCAATAGGCAATTCCAAGCCAAAACTCTTAAAATATATTCAGATAATAATACCAGAAACTTGATGCACTGATTACTTAAATTTATTTTCCTTACATTTCTGTTTTTCGATTGTATTTCATCTTAATATATGAGCAGAACACGGATATTTACAAGTTAATATTTAGCAGGAGGAAAGATCAAGAATGAAAGAGAAGACTGAGGATTGATTATTGCCTTCTAGCATGCCCTTGGGAAGACATTCTCACATATTAACTGGTTAGACCAAGACCTTCCCAGAAAGCATTTACATGAAGTCCCTTCTTTGCCTGAACCAAAAAAGTCGTAAGGATAAATTCTATAAGGAATGTATCATCAGTCTTTTTTACTTCTTTGCCTCTGTGAATTTGTCAATTAAAAAAAAATTACTAAAGTAAAAATTATATTTACTAAAGTCCATAAATTTTAAGTATACAAATTGATAAATTTATGAATATGTATATACGTGTGCAATCACAACCAGAACAACCAAGAGGATGCTTCATTCCTCCGTTCAGTCAGTAAGTCCCAAGAGTAAAAACCATTCTGATTTCCATAACTGGGGGTTAATTTTATCCCTTTGAAATTTCATATGGGTAGAATTTGTATTAATGGTGTTTAACCTCTTCCCCTTAATATTATGCCTATGAGATTCATTCATGTTGCATGGAAAGTTTATTTTTGTTAACAGCTATGCAGTATTCTATTGTATGTAGACAATATAATGTGTTTACCTATTCTATTATTGATGAACATTTCATTTATTTTCAGTTTAGATCTATTTATGAGTAAAACTTATACAAATATTTTGTCCATGGGTCTTTTGGTGCATATTATTATTCACTTTTTTTTTTGATAGATACCCAATAGTGAAATTATTGGGTTGTATGGTATACATGTGTTTTCCTTTTGGTAGGTACTATCAAATATTTTTCCAAAGGAGTTCTAGAAATTTATACTTTTATACTTCCGTCTGCTTTATATCCTCATCCATACTCAGTATTTTAACCTTTTTTTTAAAAATTATCCATTATGGTTTTATAATGGTATTTTATCAGAGTTTTTAATTTGTATTTGTCTAATTACTAATGATATTGAACACAGTTTTTGTTTTGTTTATTTATTTATTTTTAAAAGATTTTTATTTATTTATTTGAGAGAGAGAAAGTGAGAGGGATCACAGAGGGAGAGGGAGAAGCAGACTTGCCACTGAGCAGAAAGCCTGATGCAGGGCTTGATCCCAGAACCCTGAGATCAAGACCTGAGCCAAATGTAGATGCTTAACCAACTGAGCCACCCAGGCGCCCCCCACCCCTGCACCTTGCAATACTTTTTTTTATTATTGAAATTAAACTACCCAACACATAGTACAGCATTAGTTTCAGATGTAGTGTTCAACAATTCATCAGTTGCATATAATACCCACTGCGCATCCCATCCAGTGCCCTCCTTAATGCCCATCACCCAAATACCCCATCCCCCCACTCACCTCCCCTTCAGCAACCCTCAGTTTGTTTCCCATAGTTAAGAGTCTCTCATGGTTTGTCTCTCTCTCTGATTTCTTCCCATCCAGTTTTCCCTCCCTTCCCTATAGTCCTCTGCACTATTTCTTATATTCCACATATGAATGAAACCATATGATAATTGTCTTTCTCCGATTGATTTATTTCACTTAGCGTAATATCCTCCAGTTCCATCTATGTCCATGTAAACAGTAAGTATTCATCATTTCTGATGGCTAAGTAATATTCCATTGTGTATGTATATATTTCACTACATCTGTATTTTGGGGTAAATACCTAATAATGCAGTTGCTGAGTTGTAGGGTAGCTCTATTTTTAACATCTTGAGGAACCTCTATACTGTTTTCCAGAGTGGCTGTACCAGCTTGCATTCCCAATAATAGTGTAAGAGAGTTCCCCTTTCTCCACATCCTCGCCAACATTTGTTGTTTCCTATCATGTTAATTTTAGCCATTCTGACTGGTATGAGGTGGTATCTCGTTGTAGTTTTGATTTGTATTTCCCTGATGACAAGTGATGAGCATTTTTTCATGTGTCTGTTGGCCACTTGTATATCTTCTTTGGAGAAATGTCTGTTCATGACTTCTGTCAATTTCTTGACTGAATTATTTGTTTTTGGGGTGTTGAATTTGATAAGTTCTTTATAGATCTTGGATACTAGCCCTTTATTGATATGTCATTTGCAAATATCTTTTCCCATTCCATAGGTTGCCTTTTAGTTTTGTTGACTTTTTCCTTTGCTGTGCAGAAGCTTTTTATCTTGATGAAGTCACAATAGTTCATTTTTGCTTTTGTTGCCTTTGGAGACATGTCTAGCAAGAAGTTACTGAGGCTGAGGTCAAAGAGGTTGCTGCCTGTGTTCTATTCTAGGATTTTGATGGATTCCTGTCTCACATTGAGGTCTTTCATCCATTTTGAATTTATCTGTGTGTATGGTGTAAGGAATGGTCCAGTTTCTTTCTTCTGCATTTTGCTGTCCAATTTTCCCAGCACCATTTATTGAAGTGACTATCTTTTTTCCATTGGATATTCTTTCCTGCTTTGTTGAAGATTAGTTGACCATAGAGAGTTGAGGGTCCATTTCTGGGCTCTCTATTCTGTTCCATTGATCTATGTGTCTGTTTTTGTGCCAGTACCATACTGTCTTGATGATCACAGCTTTGTAATAGAGCTTGAAGTCTGGAATTGTGATGCCACCAGCTTTGCTTTTCTTTTTCAACATTATTCTGGCTATTCAATGTCTTTTCTTGTTCCACACAAATTTTAGGATTATTTGTTCCTGCTCTGTGAAAAAATGTCGATGGCATTTTGATAAGGACTGCACTGAATGTGTAGATTGCTCTGGGTAGCATAGACATTTTCACAATATTTAGTCTTCCAATCCATGAGCATGGAATGTTTTTCCATCTCTTTGTGTCTTCCTCAATTTCTTTCATAAGTGTTCTGTAGTTTTAGAGTAGAGATCTTTACCTCTTTGGTTAGATTTATTCCTAGGTGCCTTATGGGTTTTGGTGCACTTGTAAATGGGATCGATTCCTTAATTTCTCTTTCTTCAGTCTCATTGTTAGTGTATAGAAATGCAACTGATTTCTTTTTTTTTTTTAAGATTTTATTTATTTATTTGAGAGAGAGAGAGCATGAGAGGGGGAGGGTCAGAGGGAGAAGCAGACTCCCGTTGAGTGGGGAGCCCGATGTGGGATTCGAACCTGGGACTCCACGATCACGACCTGAGCCGAAGGCAGTCGCTTAACCAACTGAGCCACCCAGGCGCCCCAATGTAACTGATTTGTGTGCATTGGTTTTATATCCTCCCACTTTGCTGAATTGCTATAAGAGTTCTAGCAATTTTGGGGTGGAGTATTTGGGTTTTCCACATAAAGTGTCCTGGCATCTGGGAAGTGTGAGAGTTGACTTCTTTGCCAATTTGAATGCTTTTTATTTCTTTTTGTTGTCTGATTGCTGAGGCTAGGACTTCTAGTACTATGTTGAACAACAGTGGTGAGAGTGGGCATCCCTGTTGTGTTCCTGACCTTAGGGGAAAAGCTCTCAGTTTTTCCCCATTGAGAACAATATTCACTGTGAACACATTTTTATGTTTATCAGCAACTTTGATATCATTTTTATATTATCTTTTGTGAAGTCTCTATCAAATCTTTTGCCTGCTGTTATAATTAGGTTGACTGTCTTTTTTATTATTATTATGATTGATTTGTAAGAATTCTCTATATGTTCTTGATATGAAGTATTTGCCAAATGTATGTGTTGCAAATATCTTCTTCTAGTCTGTGGCTTATTTTTTGAACTCTTAATTGTATCTTTTGTTAAACAAAAGTTCTCAGTTTAAATCTGTCCAGTTTATTTTTTATTCTTTATGGTTCGTGTGTGTGCATGCGTGTGTGTGTGCACATGCACATGCATGTGAGAAAAAGAGAGATCCTATTTAAGAAATTTTCATCATCCCGAAGTCCTTAGTCATGAAGCTATTTTCTTCTAAAAGCTTGATTCAACACTGATGAAAATATTGAAGACAAACAGGAGGATTTATACTATCAGATATTAAGATTTACTATAATGCTGTAGTAATTAAGACAAAGTACTAGAGGCCCAAGTACAGATATGGACCAAAGTAATATAATGGAATACACATACAGATTCATGTATACACTTACCTGATTTATGACCACCCAGGAAATGCCTGGTGACTCCCCAAAGTAAAATCTGAAACTAGCCTGCCTTCAATTAGAAGAGAGAGAGAGGGCCACTGCCTGCTTGAGTATGACTGGCTGGTTATTTTGGTAGCGGTGTCATATAATTTCTGAAATAGAAGATACCTATCTTGGTACTTTAGAATCTATGTAACCACATGGTAATCGGACCTACATGAAAAATAGTTTTTCTTCACCCTACTACAAGAAGTTTATGAGAATGATCTAAATTATTAATATGACGTTACATTTGAACGTATGTCTAAGTTTATTAATTCCCTTATTAAAAGCACGGAAATAACAAGCATTTACTTTTAGATTATAATGGATGGTGTTAAGGTAAGACCGTATATAATCTCTTATTTAACATTGTGACAATAGCATTAGGTACTCATTTATCATTAACTTCACTTTTCAAATAAGTAAACTGACACATAAAACATTATATAACTTACCCAAGTTCACACAGTTTGGAAAATTCAGTGTCCTGAATGCGAACCAGATATTTGGCTCTGTGGTGTGCTCTTGCCTTCAAACAGTACTCTGCAGGGAAGATTTGCTCTATGAGGAAGTCAGTTCAAAGAAAATGCTTACAAGAGATCCAGGAATTTACAGCAGGCAAAGGGCATGAGTGCATAATAATCAGAACAAATCTAAACAAACTGAAAAGATTGCAAGTCATGATTGTGGATGCATTTCTAGTTTAGGATCCGGACAACGTCATCAGTGGACCTCACCAGTCTTAAATTTCCACATGCTGAACAAGTTGCAAAGATCAGCTGCATGATTCAGTGGAGTTACAATCAGATAACAAGAACACTGAAAAGGAAAGTGGCCCCATGGCCCAGTAAGGGAGGCAATTTATCAGCCTTATTACATGCACGCATGCAATCATTCAATACATATTTATTGAGGTATTACTAGGAATCACGCCTTCTTGTAAATACTGAGGGCACATAGAATAACCGAATTTAAACTGCACAATCTTATGAAGTTTGCACTCCAGCCCCTGCATATGGTACATTCAGTGTGTTTATGGCAACTGCACTATAAATGCCAGGCACTTTGAGATTCTGCGGATGAAAAGATAACCTGTTTTCTTCAGGAACTTCTTGTTCAATAGGAAAACCACCAGCAATATGGGAGCATTCTATTAGAAGTTTGCCCAGAATTTATGTGGAAACAACTAACTGAAAAGTCTGGATATAATAAGTCATATTATACTACATACTAAATAGTAAAATATGAAATGCTTCAGATATTTGAGCTAGATGACAATAAATAAATAGGACTTTAACAGCAAAGAAGGATGGCACAGGCAGAAATCATCTATGATTGTAGAAAAACCACTCTGAAACCAGGTATAATCAGATGTTTTTGATTTATTATTCTGAAAACTTGGGAAATGTCTGTATTTATGAGTGTGTGGCCATTTATACTGAAGTCTCTATCTACATGACTGACTGGTATCTTTTTCTTTTTTCTCTTTTCTCCCCATTGTGGATTTTGCCTTTGTTCTCTAGAAGAAAGAAGACATTATTATTTAATAAAAATGTTTTCCTCAGATCTTCCCTGAGAAAGGCCAGCTGAATATCTACAGAGAACATAATAAGGTAAAAAGTGGGTAGTCATGAGTTATTTTGTGTTATGTGTTGAAGTGGGAGTTATGAAATAAAAAATAAAAGATATTGGAGGCTCTTGAGACAGAATTTTCTGGTCTCGCCAAAGAGTTCATAATGACTACTTGGAAAATAGTCTGCAGAAAAGGAGGACTAAACATCATTCAAAAATTGCTCACTGTGGCCATAAGAATATTTCTGTTGCTGTTAATGGGAGATGGTATTAAGCTGGAAGCATGCCAGAGCTCATCAAAAATCCTTTAACATTTTGCAGACAGAAAATTTCACATGACTTTGAAGTAAAGCTCACAAATGACTGAGCAACTTTTTTTCCCTCCCACATTGTAAAAAGAAAGCTGGAAAACAATTCTGCTGCTTCATCAAACCAGCATGGTTTATATATTGGAAATGTATAATTTGTCATTTATGTGTTGCTACACTGTTATTTATAAAGAAGAGTGTTGATTCAATGGCAAGTGTTTATGGAAACTTAATTGCTTTGGTTTTATCTGCTGATCCTGTCAATTCCTGGCATTGCTTTACCCAACACAATGCTGTCCCTATTTATATCACTGATGTCTTCATATAGAGTTGCTAACCAGCTTCAAATATGGTTTTAAAGGAATTTGGGAAGTGTTGGAAAGCAAAGAATAACTTAATTTGCATGTGATCCCCAAGCATGGATGCCAGTTGGCTGCTTCTGTTCACATCTCTCCTATTTTCATACATTGTTCTTTTTCTGTTTAAGCTTCTTAGCATAGTAAGAAATGATCTGCAATGACTTTTTTTTTCTAAAACAAAAAATCAAGATACATTGGTCTAACATATGATATAACAACATGATGGAATATTTTTAATTGGGACTATCCCAGAAAACCCTCCAGAGATAGATGAAGACTAAGGTGTTTGTAAGCACATGATGTTTCTTAAAATATATGCATTTTAAAAGAACTTCAAGAAATCAATTATTTACTTGAAAACATAAAACATATAACCACAGAGAAGGAAGAAACCAGGATCTATGTATTAAACATGATTTGAAAATGTTGTACCAGCCTGAGGGCAAGAGTTGACCTAATAATATCTCCTGTGTGATTTATGCTGCTTTACACACACACACACACACACACACACACACACACACAGGGCATTTCCAATTCAAGGCTTCACTCTCCTTTTCCACTGGCCCCAGATTTCCTCTTTTTCTCTTCCACCATGGTTGAAATCTTATGAGGCTAATGGCTCCTTTGCCTCACTCGGAAAAATTGTACTTATGCTTCAGAGTCTTTTATGGTGCAAGGCTTCAACAACTCTAGACTTGCCTGGCAACTTGGGCCCACCCACTCAAAATTCTCTAGACCCTATGAAATCCAAATATGTGTCACACAGAATAACTCGTTAATTTTTTTTAATTTGATTCTAAGGAACTTTTTTGATGTCACAGCCCTTTGAACTGTTCCCCCTCTTGTTTTAAGTTCTGTAGGGGTGGAAAACTTCTCCCTTCTGCTTCTTTGATTGGTCTAATAATTAAGTTGACATAAGACAGATTAATAGGAGAAAAACAAATTTCCTATGTACTGGAGCCCCATAAAAATATGAGACTCATAGGCAATTAAGGTTTTCTATGCCATCTGGAGCTAAGGACAAGGAGGCAAAAGTCTGGGGTTTCAAAGGGGAAGAAAATTCACAGGAAGATGACAAGAGCAAATATTTGGTAAACAGATGTTTGCCCTGCCCATGCAAATAAGTCTTTTTGATATAAAAAGTTATCTATGGTAATAGCTTTCTTTCTGCTATAGGTTCCCTATCTAAATTCTTTTAGGCGGTTAAGAGAGACAAAATGTTTTCCCGAATCTGCTGGGTCTTAATTGCCTTCAGCTCAAAACCACATGACAAAACAGCACATTTTGGGGTCTTATATTCTGCCCCCCTCACTTCCGTAATCTGGAATGAAAGTCAATGTACGTTTTTCTATTCAGCTTCGTTTTAGTTCTTTACTCCTTGTAAGAAGTTATCCCAAAGTAAGTGGCTTAAAACAATAAATATGACCCCTCACAGTGTCTGGGGATCAGGAATTTGGGAACAGACTCACTAAACAGTTTAAGCTTGGGTGTCCCATTGTTGTAGTCAGATGCAGTTATCTGCAGACTGCAGGCCTTTATCTCTCTGGTGGCTTAACTGCTTCCAAGTTGACTCATTCATATGACTTTCAGAATGTTTCTGTTTGTTGGTGAGAACCTTTAGCAGTTCTACTGATTGGTCTCTCAACAGGGATGCTTGGAAGTCCTTACAACAGGGCAGTTACAGGGAAAAACAGCAATAACTTGTATGATGGATTCAGAAGTCACACACTTTAGTATTCCATTGGTCTCAGAGACTAGTCCTAATTCAGTTAAGGAGCTCGCACAAGGACATAGATAACAGGAGACAAGGCTTGTCGGAGCTATCTTGGAGGTAATTGCTATAAGCCCCTAGCCCCACCCCTTTTCTAACTCTATATCTAGGTTTTCCATCTCCAACTTAAAGGTTTGTAATTTCTCTCCAGTTTTCAAGAAAATATCAGTAGGAAGCTAGAGGTATAAAAGTCTGTCTCTTCTTTCTCCGAAGTTAAGTCCTTAAACATTATGCCTTTAACTTAAATGGCAGAGGAAAGACAGATTAAAAAAAAAAAAAAGCCCACATAACCCCCTGAAAAACTTCCTAAGCAGTGCAAAGTGCCAAAATCATAAGAATCTTTCTGCAAGATTACTATAGAGACTTAGATATAGTTAATTTATATCAGTCAGGGGGCCAACAAGAAACAGAAGGGATTCCCAAGAAGGGTAATTTGAAGAGAGTTTAATAAAGAGAATTTCTGAAGGTGTGGATAGGGTGTAAGGAGACCACTATGGACAATGCAATAACCAGTAATGGTAAGTAAATTTATCACACCTAGACTGAATGGTGGAGGGAAAGTGGAGTTATAGGAAGCCAGAAAGGGAGAAAGAGAGCCATTGGGAAAGGGTTGCCTTACAAGGAATTGTAGCCTTGGGTGTAGGAACACAGCCAGGCTAAGAAAATCCTGCATCCTCTACATCCTCTCTACAGGATGTAGAGAGGGAGATGAAATAAACACCCCCAAATTTGGCCAACTTAACCTGAAGCCAAGTTCAAGAGAGACTGTTGATATAGGAATTACGCAAATATGTGTGTTTTAATTTCTCAACTTTAGTTCTTTGTGAGACCCAGTCATATTTCCTGTCCTTGGGTTATGAAGGGAATTATTTTCTGCTTCAAATCAATTCCCAAATTGTGCTTAAGTTAGTCTGTGTAAACTTTAGTTTGGGTTCCCAGCAACAAAACCATCTCTGCCTAAAACATATGTCAACATCCATTCTTTGACTTTGACTCAAACTGTATACAGATATATTTTGCTAACGTGGAACAAGAACTGACACAGGACATAAAGGATATGGTTATCAGTCAAGTTGATGAGGGAAGTTGTAAAGCTTACCATGCGTGTGACAGAAAACAGTAAGACTGTGTTACGAACCATGCAGAAGAGAGCCTAGTTCTGCCAAAGAATGGAAGTTTTGAGCGAAGAAGAGTTAAAGGTAGACTTCAACCTGAAATTAAAGGGTTGTCTGCAGTAGGTCCAGGTGCTGAAAGCCTGCAGGAGTGGCTGAGAAGTAAACTATTGAGAGAGGGTGGCTGGGTCCAAATCCTGTGGATGCTTTTCACTAGGGATGATTGTCACTCAACATCTCTGTGCTCCAATTTCCTCATTTCCATAAACAGATAATCTTAATGCCCACTTCTCAGGGTTTCTCCAGTGATCATTTTAATGTATCTGAACCATCTTGATGAGTTGCAAGCACTATTAGTTATTTTCATTGTCCTCATTACTATAAATCTAATATCCATGAGAGGGCCTACAACCTGAAAGAAGAAAGATATCAAGAAAAACACAGGAAAGTTTAGTTTGAAATGATGATTACATACGATGAATCGGGAACCATGACACATGTGTATTTACTATGTAGAAACAGGATCTGGTGCCTTCCTTCCA